AAAAAAAAAAAAAAATCAACCCCCTCTCATAGTATCTTCTGGTAAGTTAAAACCATCCAATTCCATTGATATCTTTTCGACTACCTTAAATTTTTTTCCCCATTTGTAAGATTAATTATATTAAATTTCCCCCCTTTAATAGCTACAAATCATATTGTAATTCCATTCTTCTAGGATAGGTCTTAAACCTTTTGGTCTCAGAATTATAGAGGACCCCAAAGACTGTTTATGCGGGCTACATCTATCAATATTACATGTTAGAAATTAAAAGGCAAAAAATTTAAAGAAATTTATTAATTCATCTGAAAAATAAACTAGTGATATGTTAATACATTTTAGGATAACTGATCTTATATTCTTTTATTAAACTCAGTGTCATAAGCTTAGTATCTTGTAGACTGAATTTATATTCACAAGCTTGGTAACAAGTCATTCTAAACCAAGCCATTTACTAATGGTGACACGGCTAGTTAAATGGCAGTGCCCCACTCAGCGCTCTCACCTAGCAGGCTGTAACGGCACCAATGGGCACACACAGCTTCTCAGTGTCTGGATACGAAAGACTGTGCTCCTTAGACCAGGAATGTTAGTACCATGATTGGACTGGCTAGAAATGTAGCTCTGGTTCTACCCTACGTTTACTGAGCCAGAGTCTATGTTAATAATATCCCCCAGTGACTTGTGCATATAAAAGTTGGAGATTTTCCAGTCAAGTTTCTTTTCAATTAGCATATAACCCTGCTTTCCTCCTTTTTACTTAACAGATCCCTGCTTTTCTTCTTTTTTCTTTAAAAACAGCTACCCCTTGCCCACAAAGCTGAGGAAGCTGACCTCCCTTACCCAACTCCCATTCCTAACTCCAGGGTAAGTCTGACTGGATGATCCCATTCTCCTTGCCATGACTGTTTCAAGGAACAGGAGTGTAGCACAAATTCTGGGGACATAAGTGAAGTCGGCTGACTTTAAGAGTCAGAGAAAGAGACAGTTTCCATTTCCGCCACTGTGATATCTGGAATAAAATTGCCTCAGACATATCCTGATAATGAAGCCAACAGCAACAGCGAGTAGAAAGGGAGGGTAGAGCCTGGTCCCTCAGTCCTGATCTATCTGTGGATTTCCTGGTACATGAGAAATACTGTTTCACTAGGAATTTGTTTCTTGCATCCAAAATCACCCTAACTGATGAAAGTAGATGATCATCGATGGTCCTGAACAAAAGACTGAGATACCACAGACATGATTTTGCAAAATCTGGTAATTCCAAGAGTTATGTGCTTTCTTTCTAAAATAAGCTTTTTATTGGTCGTGTCCCCTCTTTCACTCTCACGCTCATTCCCAGAATAGACTGGTGCTTAAAATTCATGGAACCAAATAGTACTCACAAAATTTAAAAAATAGAACACTGAGTCCTTAAAATGAAAATATGATTTAGTCAAGCAAGATCATATTTTAAAAGTCAAATAAAACCTGGTTATATTATACATTCTTTTCAATATCCATTCTTATTTTTAATGTAATTTTACAAGAAAATTTTATAAGATTCTTTGATACTAAATGTCATACTTCTACTTTTAAACATGTAGATTACAGCAGAAACTATTAAGAACAATGCAGTAATAGGAATTTGACATCAGAAAAAAATTATGATTTATATTATTAATACACAATATTACAGAGCAATCTGATTTTTTCATCAGGTGGATTTGTTATGGTTTAATTTTGACTACTTCCAAATTTTGCATTGCAAGCATGATTTAAAAAATAATCCTGTCACATTCAGAGAAACAACTGGTATTATCTTATGACAATAATAAAATTTGAGCATTTTAGTAGAAATTAGTGATTCTGATACACTTGAATTGGACAGTTTCCCAAGAGCTTTCTGATGAGATTGGTAGTAACAATAACTCTGACTTCTATACAGTGTAATATGAACTATGTCAACATTTGTTGGCTTAGTGAGCCAACAGTTATTAAATAACCTATATATATGTATATATATCTCATGTTACAAAACCAAGCAAGGATGAAAGATACATTCAAGTTGTTAAGACAGATCAATAAATTCTAATGTAACAGAGTAATTTGAGATTAGTTTCAAACTTTACATTGCAACCAACATTTAAGAAACTACTTGTGAAATTCTGGTGTGGTATCAAATGACATACAAAATTATCTGAAAGGCTATTAAAAAACCCCCATTTTCCAATCACATAACTGCATGAGGCCAGATTTTCTTCATCTACTTCAATGAAAACAATAAATTACAATAGTAGTACAAGAAGCTTAGGTGAGAATCCAGCTATTTTTCGATTGCCAAACATTAGCGAAATTACTAATTTTTAACATATATTCATGTCTCATAATACATGTTACCTGTGTTAGTACATAATGGGCTTATAACTATTTTTCAATGGACTAATAAATACTTATAATATCATATGGTAAATACTTAATAGATATAGCCATGTAAGCAAAGACTTTTGGAATTCTCAGTAATTTTTTTTTTTTTTAAAGATTTATTTATTTGTACATACAGAACTGGGGTACAGGGCAGAGGCCCAGGGGCGGTGAGAGGCTTCACCAGAGACAGAGTGGG